CAGAAAACACGTAGTGACATTTCCATATTAAAACATGGAATAATTTCCATATTAAAAATTCATATCCTGTTACCTTTGTATTACTATATATTTATATTGTATCTTGTATCTCTAGAGTAATTCCTTATAATTAAGGGAGAAAATTATGGCATCGTGAGAATTTCGTGAGTCTTGGCCTCTATATGCCCTCTGCTTGACAGTATCTATGCGGGCTATTGGAATTAAAACTATTGTCAGTGATTCCATTATAAATTTCTCTTTTTTATTAAGTTATCTGGACCCTGCTCACCAAATCTCCTAGGCAGCCTCAGTGTAGGAGCACAGCTAATGGTAGAACTTTATCACCCTGAGCAGCTTGGATATTTTATACTGTGGAAATGCAAAATGAATAAGTTGTATTTTTATTAGAAAAATCCATAGATACTACCATGTGCAAGTCAGACGATTATGGGAATTAATGATAGAAAAAGAACATTTTGCCACCTGTTGGGCAGACACCTGAATCTTTAAGGGCTGAAATCTTTACTTGGTATGCACAAGCCAAAGAGTTAAGGTTTCACTTTTGCTTGTCTCTTATTAAGAGGAGAAAAAGAGAAAATTCTCTCTCACATTCAACCAATTAATTTTAGACCACAGAGTTTATTAATATTCAGTAATATGTCTAGGCTTAAATAGATTAAAAATAGCCAAGCTGTTTCATTTAGAAACAGATTTCTGTAAGCACAAGCTTATTTTCCCCACTGGTGCAAGTGTAATTGTCTCTTTCTGTAGAGAGAGGATCGTTTTCCTACCAGTGATGAGCATGTGGGATGGCCATGACCATTTTCATTCATTTATTTTGTTTTGTGAAAGGCTGCATCCTTTTGTGCTTCTGCCTGTCAGCATCTTTGTCTGTTTCTCTTTCTACCGCACTTTTACCTCCAAGCCACAAAATATTAAAGCAGGTTAAATATCTTTTCTATCTGTTAAGGGAAATAGTCTCCTCTAGTAAAAGATGTAAAATTCCCATGTCATCCCAATGTAGCCATGATCTGCACATGATAGAGCCTCAGGTAGCTATTTAAATTTAAATTCATTAAAATAAGATAAGATAAATTAAATAATTCAGTTGCACTAACCATATTTTAAGGGCTCACTGGTTACCTGTGGCTAGTGATTACTGTACTGAACAGCACAGAACACTTTCATCTTTTCAGAAAGTTCTATTGAATAAAGGCTCAATTGAGTAAAATGCCATATAGAAAGATATGTCAAATTCCAGTTGGCTGTAACTATTATTTTTAATTAACTATTATTTTTAAGAATTCTATTTGGGTATAACTAAAAGGATTTTGTTGTTGTCATATTGTTTTGTTTTTGTTTTCCAAATAGCTCACATTTTTTTCAATCTGTGAAAAACAAACGCTTAGATAGAAAACTAGAGAGTTATGATCCAAAATTTAGATAGTCCTGGGTTTAGTTCAGATGTCATCACTACCAGCTATACAGCCTCCTTTAATCTCTGAGTGCAGAAAGAATCTACACTCAGAGACAATTATGTTGCCTGCTCTGCTATTTTCATTTCAATAGGCAGGGACTGTGTTGTATTTATTTTTGTACCCACAGCGCTTAGAACAGTTACTGGTACATAGCAGGTGCTCAATAAATGTTCATCAAGCTCAACAGTGAGGTAATGTATATGGATCCTCTTTGTAGCTTTAACCTGTTCTTTAATCTATCAGCATATAACTAGATGGAGGAGTTTATTCATGAAAATTTGAGGAAAGGTGCCCTTGGCGATATGAAACTTGGGGAGAAGAAAAGCTGCCTAAAGAGGATTTTTAGAAAGTTTTAAGAAAATTACAACAAAGATCTAGTAAATATTTGCAAGTTTCTGAGGCAGGGTGATGTGGTTTAAATGTCTTGGCTGCACCTGGTTTCACAGCAAGAATATTAACCAGGTCTCATTTTATATGGGTTATAATCACATAAGAGAGTAAATACGGATCATGTAAATTAGTTTCTTAGGAACTTTTAAACCATAATCTTCTTCTCACTCTTTGCTCACCACAGCCCTCACTACCTCAGGGTCTGTATTGCAGCCATAGTTTTAGGAGAGCGTAGAGAGAGTACAATAACCCTCTACACTGTAGAAGCCAGCTCTCCTTATATATATCATATACGTGGCCACTTTATGAACACCACAGAGCAAAGTGCTGCAGACCACCGACAGATATACACACCAGAGAACACCACAATCACAACTAACTGCTGAACAACCACTGATTAAAAAAAAGACTGGAATCTACCAAAAAAAGATATTCTACATCCAAAGACATAAAGAAGAAACAACCAGATGGTAGGAGGGGTGTACTTGTGATATAATCAAACCCCCTACCACCCAGGTGGGCAACTCACAAACTGGAGAATAATTATATCGCAGAGGTTCTCCCACAGGAGTGAGAGCTCTAAGCCCCGCAACAGTCTCCCCAGCCTAGGGGTCTGGCATTGGGAGGAGGAGCCCCCAGAGCATTTGGCTTTGAAGGTCAGTGGGGCTTGATTGCAGGAGCTCCACAGGACAAGGGGAAACAGAGACTCCACTCTTGGAGGATGCACACAAGGTTCCACATGCACCGGGTCCCAGGGTAAAAGCAATGACTCCATAGGAACCTGGGCCAGACCTACCTGCTGGTCTTGGAGGGTCTCCTGGGAAGGCAGGGGGCAGCTATGGGAAAAAGGGAGAGGGCTCAAATCAATAAAATTAGAAATGAAAAAGAAGTTACAACTGACATCACAGAAATACAAAAGATCATGAGAGACTACTACAAGCAACTATATGCCAATAAAATGGACAACCTAGAAGAAATGGACAAATTCTTAGAAAGATACAATCTCTGAAGACTGAGCCAGGAAGAAATAGAAAATATGAACAGACCAATCACAAGTACTGAGATTGAATCTGTGATTTAAAAACTCCCAACAAACGAAAGTCCAGGACCAGATGGCTTCACAGGCAAATTCTGTCAAACATTTAGAGAAGAGTTAATACCTATTCTTTGGAAACTATTCCAAAAAGTTTCAGAGGAAGAACACTTCCAAACTCATTCTATGAGGCCACCATCACCCTGATATCAAAAGCAGAAAAAAATACTGCACAAAAAAGAAACTGACAGGCCAATATCACATCAAGAGTCAGATTTTTGTTAAGCAGCTTCTAAATTAGTGGGGAAACAAACAAACCAGGCAGCCAGATGTATGGCAATAAAATTCCAACTGAAGGAACATAGAAGTCAGGCTGTGTTGGCAGTTTGGAGGAAGGCTGGAAAAACTTTCTGGGACTTCTCTGGTGGCGCAGTGGTTAAGAATCCACCTGCCAGTGCAGGGGACATGGGTTCGGGCCCTGGTCCGGGAAGATCCCACATGCCACGGAGCAACTAAGCCCGTGAGCCACAACTACTGAGCCCGAGTGCCACAACTACTGAAGCCCACGCACCTAGAGCCCATTTCACAAGAGAAACCACTGCAATGAAAAGCCTGCGTACCACAACGAAGTGTAGCCCCCACTCACCACAACTAGAGAAAGCCCGTGCGCAGCCAAAAATAAAATAAATAAATGCAGCCAAAAATAAAATAAATAAATTTATTTAAAAAAAAAAAACCTTTCTGGAAAGAAGGACTGAATATTCAAAACAGATTAGCACCCTGACAGATTGAGAATGGGTTTGAGGATCTTTGTGGCCCGAGGACTAGGAGGATTATATTATTCCTTGCTTTTCTCTATAAAGCAAGAGCCCAAATGTGCTGAGCTCCAGGGGTGAGTTGGCCAGGCACATAGCCCAGCCTCGACTCTATTTTTACTTCACAGAAGGATTAAAGTCTGTTCTCTACATTCCCCTAGCACAGGAGAACCTGGTTCAGGGCATTGCCATTCTTTATAGGCTACCTTCACTTAGGTTGTTTCACATATGTTCATCTTCATTAGGTCGTGTGTGATGAGTCTTCAGTCATTTGCATGTTTTACAAGAGTTCCATTTGTGTCTGAACATCCCACAAGATGTAACTGAAGTGGCAAAATGACCCGATTGTTTCTTTTCAAAGTGTGGCTTTTATATCTTTTCTTCCTCTTTTCTGAATTTAATGGGAGTGGTACATGTATGGGGAGGTCTTCCCTTTTCGTCTAATATTACTTTTATCTGTTATCGCTGATATTCTCAAAATACCCTCTAAAGAAGGTGAAAAATATACTCTCCAAATGTTGATTGGATGCAGATCCAGTTCTGTAAATTTAATTTAAATAACCAGTTAATGTCATTCCAAATCCCTTTCCTGTAACTTTCTTTTTTCATCTCAGGATAGTGATAGTGATTCCAGATCTGAGGTCCATCAGGCTGTATGAAGCTCCTTTGCAGATACCTGGCAGCACTGCAAGCCTGCTTATTTCTGCGCTAGAACATTATACTTCCTTTGGCTCTTTACAATGCATGGAAGTCTGGGTCCCTTTGGACTAATTGTGGCCATGGTCACATAAGTGATTGGTCAGTCTCAAATTCTGAACATTACCTCACCCTCCTTTCTCAAAACACATACCAAGACAGCTCATCCCGGGAGACTGTATGATCAGGCAAAGGACACTGGAGGGAAAGGGACTCCAGAAGCCTGAGTTCTAGTTGCCAGCAACTAGCATGAATGCTTAGGAAGTCTCTTCATCCCTCTGTTTTCCTCAACTGCAAAATGATGGAGCTGGACTAGGTAATCGCAAAGGCTGTGCCGGCTCTGCCGACACCCTTGAATCAGCAAGGTTCGGAGAATGCTAAGGCAAATGACAGTAGGGAGGGCAGAACTCATATAGCAACTACATCTCCTTACTGCAAATGTAAGAAAATTCTAAGCAGCAGACTTCAGACTTCTTAACTGATACTTCTCATCTGGTTTGGAAAGAAGCCAAAAAGCAAAAGATATCACAAGAAAGCACTTGCTCAAAAGTGTTCCTTTTAATGAATTCCTTTTAAAAAATGTCCTAGGCTATGGCAGGAGACGAGGGGAAGATGGCAGAAGAGTAAGACATAGAGATCACCTTCCTCCCCACAGAAATACATCTACACATGGAACAACTCCTACAGAACAACTACTGAACGCTGGCAGAAGACCTCAGACCTCCCAAAAGGCAAGAAACTCCCCACGTACCTGGGTAGGGCAAAAGAAAAAAGAATAAACAGAGACAAAAGAATACGGACGGGACCTGCACCAGTGGGAGGGAGCTGTGAACGAGGAAAGGTTTCCACACACTAGGAAGCCCCTTCGTGGGCTGAGACTGCGGGTGGCGGAGGGGGGAAGCTTCAGAGCCGCGGAGGAGAGCACAGCAACAGGGGTGTGGAGGGTAAAGCGGAGAGATTCCCGCACAGAGGATGGGTGCCCACCGGCACTCACCAGCCCCAGAGGCTTGTCTGCTCACCCGCCGGGGCAGGCGGGGCTGGGAGCTGAGGCTTGGGCTTCGGTCAGAGCGCACGGAGAGGACTGGGGTTGGCGGCGTGAGCATAGCCTGCAGGGGCTTAGTGCACCACGGCTAGCAAGGTGGGAGTCCGGGGAAAAGTCTGGACCTGCCGAAGAGGCAAGAGACTTTCTCTTGAGAAAGGAGAGGGGATTAAGAGTGCTGCTTAAAGGAGCTCCAGAGATGGGCGCAGGCCGCGGCTAAAAGCGCAGACCCCAGATATGGGCAGGAGATGCTAAGGCTGCTGCTGCCGCCACCAAGAAGCCTGTGTGCGAGCACAGGTCACTATCCATACCTCCCTTCCGGGGAGCCTGTGCAGCCCGCCACTGCCAGGGTCCCGGGATCCAGGGGCAACCTCCCCGGGAGAAGGCACGGCGCACCTCTGGCTGGTGCAATGTCACGTCGGTCTCTGCCGCAGCAGGCTCGCCCCGCACTCCGTACCCCTCCCTTCCCCCCGGCCTGAGTGAGCCAGAGCCCCCGAAGCAGCTGCTCCTTTAACACCGTCCTGTCTGAGCGAAGAACAGATACTCTTCAGCGACCTATACGCAGAGGCGGGGCCAAATCCAAAGCTGAGCCGCGGGAGCTGTGAGAACAAAGAAGAGAAAGGGAAATCTCTCCCAGCAGCCTCAGAAGCAGCAGATTAAAGCTCCACAGTCAACTTGATGTACCCTGCATCTGTGGAATACCTGAATAGACAACGAATCATCCAAATTAAGGAGGTGACCTTTGAGAGAAAGATTTATGATTTCTTCCCCTTTTCCTCTTTTTGTGAGTGTGTATGTGTATGCTTCTGTGTGAGATTGTGTCTGTAAAGCTTTGCTTCCACCATTTGTCCTAGGGTTCTATCCGTCCGTTTTTTTTTTCTTTAAAAAAATTTTTTCTTAATAATTATTTTTTATTTTAATAACTATTTTATCTTCTTTATTTCTTTCCTTCCTTCCCTCCTTCCTTCCTTCCTCCCTTCTCCTACCTTCCTTCCTTCCTTTCTTTCTACTTTTTCTCCCTTTTATTCTGAACTGTGTGAATGAAAGGCTCTTGGTACTCCAGCCAGGAGTCAGAGCTGTGCCACTGAGGTGGGAAAACCAACATTAGGACACTGGTCCACAAGAGACCTTCCAGCTCCACATAATACCAAACGGGGAAAATCTCCCAGAGATCTCCATCTCAACACCAGCACCCAGCTTCACTCAACGACCACCAAGCTACAGTGCTGGAAATCCTATGCCAAACAACTAGCAAGACAGGAACACAACCCCACCCATTAGCAGAGAGGCTGCCTAAAATCATAATAAGTCCACAGACACCCCGAAACACACCACCAGACGTGCACCAGCCCACCAGAAAGACAAAGTCCAGCCTCATCCACCAGAACACAGGCACTAGTCCCCTCCACCAGGAAGCCTACACACCCACTGAACCAACTTTAGCCACTGGGGACAGACACCAAATACAACGGGAACTACGAACCTGCAGCCTGCAAAAAGGAGACCCCAAACACAGTAAGATAAGCAAAATGAGAAGACAGAAAAACACACAGCAGATGAAGGAGCAAGATAAAAACCCACCAGACCTAACAAATGAAGAGGCAATAGGTAGTCTACCTGAAAAAGAATTCAGAATAATGATAGTAAAGATGATCCAAAATCTTGGAAATAGAATAGACAAAATGCAAGAAACATTTAACAAGGACCTAGAAGAACTAAAGATAAAACAAGCAATGATGAACAACACAATAAATGAAATTAAAAATACTCTAGATGGGATCAATAGCAGAATAACTGAGGCAGAAGAACGGATAAGTGACCTGGAAGATAAAATAGTGGAAATAACTACAGCAGAACAGAACAAAGAAAAAAGAATGAAAAGAACTGAGGACAGTCTCAGAGACCACTGGGACAACATTAAATGCACCAACATTTGAATTATAGGGGTTCCAGAAGAAGAAGACAAAAAGAAAGGGACTGAGAAAATATTTGAAGAGATTATAGTTGAAAACTTCCCTAATATGGGAAAGGAAATAGTTAATCAAGTCCAGGAAGCACAGAGAGTCCCATACAGGATAAATCCAAGGAGAAATACGCCAAGACACATATTAATCAAACTGTCAAAAATTAAATACAAAGAAAACATATTAAAAGCAGCAAGGGAAAAACAACACACAAGGGAATCCCCATAAGGTTAACAGCTGATCTTTCAGCAGAAACTCTGCAAGCCAGAAGGGAGTGGCAGGAGATACTTAAAGTGATGAAGGAGAAAAACCTGCAAGTAAGATTACTCTACCCAACAAGGATCTCATTCAGATTTGATGGAGAAATTAAAACCTTTACAGACAAGCAAAAGCTGAGAGAGTTCAGCACCACCAAACCAGCTTTACAACAAATGCTAAAGGAACTTCTCTAGGTAAGAAACACAAGAGAAAGAAAAGACCTACAATAACGAACCCAAAACAATTTAGAAAATGGGAATAGGTACATACATATCGATAATTACCTTAAATGTAAATGGACTAAATGCTCCCACCAAAAGACACAGATTGGCTGAATGGATACAAAAACAAGACCCATATATATGCTGTCTACAAGAGACCCACTTCAGACCTAGAGACATATACAGACTGAAAGTAAGGGGTTGGAAAAAGATATTCCATGCAAATGGAAACCAAAAGAAAGCTGGAGTAGCAATTCTCATATCAGACAAAATAGATTTTAAAATAAAGACTATTAGAGACAAAGAAGGACAGTACGTAACGATCAAGGGATCGATCCAAGAAGAAGATATAACAATTGTAAATATTTATGCACCCAACATAGGAGCACCCAACATATGCACCCAACATAGGAGCACCTCAATACATAAGCCATAAAAGGGGAAATCGACAGTAACACATTCACAGTAGGGGACTTTAACACCCCACTTTCACCAATGGACAGATCATCCAAAATGAAAATAAATAAGGAAACACAAGCTTTAAATGATACATTAGACAAGATGGACTTAATTGATATTTAGAGGACATTCCATCCAAAAACAACAGAATACACATTTTTCTCAAGTGCTCATGGAACATTCTCCAGGATAGATCATATCTTGGGTCACAAATCAAGCCTTGGTAAATTTAACAAAATTGAAATTGTATCAAGTATCTTTTCCGACCACAATGCTATGAGAGTAGATATCAATTACAGGAAAAGATCTGTAAAAAATACAAACACATGGAGGCTAAACAATACACTACTTAATAACGAAGTGATCACTGAAGAAATCAAAGAGGAAATCAAAAAACACTTAGAAACAAATGACAATGGAGACACGACGACCCAAAACCTATGGGAAGCAGCAAAAGCAGTGCTAAGAGGGAAGTTTATAGCAATACAATCCTACCTTAAGAAACAGGAAACATCTCGAATCAACAACCTAACATTGCACCTAAAGCAATTAGAGAAAGAAAAACAAAAAAAAAACCCAAAGTTAGTAGGAGGAAAGAAATCATAAATATCAGATCAGAAATAAATGAAAAAGAAATGAAGGAAATGATAGCAAAGATCAATAAAACTAAAAGTTGGTTCTTTGAGAAGGTAAACAAAATTGATAAACCATTAGCCAGACTCATCAAGAAAAAAAAGGGAGAAGACTCAAATCAATAGAATTAGAAATGAAAAAGGAGAAGTAACAACTGACACTGCAGAAATACAAAAGATCATGAGAGATTACAAGCAACTCTATGCCAATAAAATGGACAACCTGGAAGAAATGGACAAATTCTTAGAAAGGCATGACCTGCCAAGACTGAATCAGGAAGAAATAGAAAATATGTACAGACCTCTCACAAGCACTGAAATTGAAACTGTGATTAAATATCTTCCAACAAACAAAAGCCCAGGGCCAGATGGCTTCACAGGCAAATTCTATCAAACATTTAGAGTAGAGCTAACACCTATCCTTCTCAAACTCTTCCAAACTATAGCAGAGGGAGGAACACTCCCAAACTCATTCTACGAGTCCGCCATCACCCTGATACCAAAACCAGACAAGGATGTCACAAAGAAAGAAAACTACAGGCCAAGATCACTGATGAACATAGATGCAAAAATCCTCAACAAAATACTAGCAAACATAATCCAACAGCACATTAAAAGGATCATACACCATGATCAAGTGGGGTTTATTCCAGGAATGCAAGGATTCCTCAATATACACAAATCAATCAACGTGATACACCATATTAACAAAATGAAGGAGAAAAACCATATGATCATCTCAATAGATGCAGAGAAAGCTTTTGACAAAATTCAACATGCATTTATGATAAAAACCCTGCAGAAAGTAGGCATAGAGGGAACTTTCCTCAACATAATAAAGGCCATATATGACAAACCCACAGCCAACATCATCCTCAATGGTGAAAAACTGAAAGCATTTCCACTAAGATCAGGAACAAGACAAGGCTGCCCACTCTCACCACTCTTATTCAACATAGTTTTGGAAGTTTTAGCCACAGCAATCAGAGAAGAAAAGGAAATAAAAGGAATCCAAATTGGAAAAGAAGAAGTAAAGCTGTCACTGTTTGCAGATGACATGATA